TTTTAATATTTTTTATTTGATTTACAAATAAAATTTATCATATATTTTCAATTATTAGACTCTGTTTCATCTCATAGTAATTATACTCTGTTTCAATATGTATGAGTCAGGTTGTAAATGAATATATTCCTCTGTTTCTCAACTACAAAAGAATGGGAAATTAGAGCTATTTTAATCCCAGACTTGGTGATTTGTATCTCAAAGACAAATCTTCGGCATGGAAGCTCTTCTCTTGAACTAAAAGATACACAAACCTGAATTTAACCATTTAGCTTGTGTTAGCAGTGGCTTTGTTTTGGATACCAATTTCTTTTTTTGACTTTACAAAGTCAGAGTGTTTTGCTAAATAGCAGAATACAAAACAAAATAATAAGCGGTAATCATATTTGTTTTATGAATAATGTTCATCGATCTTAACTCTATTTTCTCATGACCCTATGGCAGATTTAGGAGCACGGTTCCATCAAGACCATCTTAAATGATTTAAAGCCTTACATTTGACCAAAGGTCTATGAAATTCGAATCAAGGTGACTATTTTTTTATAAGCTTTTTTGCTTTCTATATTTAAATATGCAGAAGAACTCACAACACATAGACATTATTGTTGTGTAGTGGCAACGTCAGAGGTGTTAGAGAAGAGACACGGACGTAACCATCTATCCGGTCAAAACTAAGAGAGATACGTTAGAAGGAAGTCAACATCCATGTTAAAACAAACTGATCTCGCCGCTCCTTAGATTTAGTCACCAGTAAACAGTAACCAGTACTCTTCTATCTCGGTGATTTGCAACCTTAAGCCATTGTCTCTTAGTTTTACCCGCGTCTAAGTCGTTTTATTCGATTGAATTCATGTAATTTTTTTTGGGAAAATTGCAAAAATGCCACTTTTTATAGATTTTTAAATCCTATATCTCAAAATTCTAAACACAAAAATATGTTTTGACCCCTAAATCCCCCTAAACCATCGTAACTAAACCCTAATAGAACATAGTTAACCCAAACATAAATAATATAATTTTTTTTGTTTTTTTGAAAAAGTGGCATTTTGTAAAGATTTCAAAAATGTGGTATTTTTGTAAAGTAGCATTTGAAAAGTGGCATTTTTTGAAATTTCTCATTTTTTTTTC